GATGATTGCACCTATCTGTGAATATATTAAAAATCACTGAATTGTACACTCTAAATGGGTGGATCATATGTGAATTGCATCTCTTTAATAAAGCTGTTAAAAATGGTTCTATGATTAATTTCACAATTTTATGGAAAGACCAGAGTGAAAATATGGAAAGTCTTTTCATTGTGATGGAGGCAGAAGTTTCTCTTTTTCTGTCAAAATAGAACCAGGCTCCCAGTTTCCCAATTCGCTTTCTTTCCCCTTGGAGCCTGAAGCTGATGGACCTCCATTTTCTACCACTGAAGGTTAAATAAAGGCCCCACCTCGGCCAGTCTGTTGAGGTGGGGTTTCTCAGCTGCTCCTGTGCAAAGTAAACCAATCTTATTTTCAAACCTAGTGACTAAATATAGCTGTCATTTTGTTTTATCTTTGCCAGTGAAAACTGGGTTGGATAGATGTTTGTTTTCCCAGATTAATCCCAGGATAGAAAAGTGTGATTCCCTGAAACAAGACTGTCACTGACAACTCCACGCCGCTTCTGATGAAACTTCCAACGGATCCTTTTACTCAGTGTCATAGCAAGACGCACCCCACAGAAGCTAAACAAAGCTGCCCATGCTGTCTCAGCATCAGCTCCACTCTAGCTTTTTAGCTTCTACCTGCTTTTGGAGGAACTAGTTTAATTTCCCACATTTCAGATTGGGGGAAAACCTCTTCAAAGACAGGAGACTCCTTGTTCACATTCAAAGAGGCATCTGTGAAAAGAGAAGATGGAACTGTAGATGGAAATAACCCACTGATGAAGCAATTATGAATGTGGGTAAGAGGAGAGGAAGTTCTGAGGGTCAATAAACAAAGGTGGGTTCACTTTAAACTCTCGATATGGCTGTCAGTTTATTGTTTTAAATGAAGGTTTCAGGCCTGCTTGGTAGCTCACGCCTGTAATCCTACCACTCTGGGAGGCCAAGGCAGGAGGATCGCTTGAACTCGGGAGTTTGAGACCAGCCTGAGCAAGAACAAGACCCCGTCTCTACTAAAAAAAAAATAGAAAAATTAGCCAGGTATTGTGGCATGCATCTGTCCCAGCTACTTAGGAGTCTGAGGCAGAAGGATTGATCGACCCCAGGAATTTGAGGTTGCAGTGAACTATGATGATGCCACCGTACTCTACCCAGGGCAACAGAGCAAGAAAATGTCTTTTTTAAAAAATGAAAGTTTTAGTTTACCTCAGATCAGACCAATGGTTGGTGTAGTTTCCTTCAGCCCCTTAGTCGACTAACCTACAAACCCAAGTGAGAGATGGGATATTCCACTTAATTTAACCTTGATGCACGGTTTCCAGTCAGTAAGTAAAACATCCCTGACTCAGACTTTGTTTTTATTTTCAGTTTGGGGTACTAAGGCATGCTCAAGCTATTGTTTCCCCCATCCCCAGACATGACACAGATGTGTATTAACGTCTTTAGAACAGCGGTCCATGGTCAGGTTTACTGACTCCATGCTGCCCTAAAATATTTACTGAGATGCAAATCAACATTGAGAGATACATTTTCAAGTGTTCTGCATGCTGGGCCATGGATATCAGTCAGTATGGGATACAAGCTAACCCCAAGTTGATACAGCCAGAATGTTTCCAGTAACTCATGCTTGAGCACATTTTTATGCTTGTCTAAAAACACTGTTCTGAAGGCCAAGAAATAAAAATCTAAAGAGATTTTAAATTTTAGGCCAGAAACTTTGCCTTGGAAGTATTAGAAAACAAGTTGGATACCTACTTCTTAAGAGAGTAGAAGGGGCCAGGTCTGGTGGCTCATGCCTGTAATCCCAGCACTTTAGGAGGCCAAAGGGAGGATCTTTTGAGCCCAGGCATTGGAGACCAGCCTGGGCAACATAGCAAGACTCTATCTCTATTAAAAAATCTAAAATATTAGCTGGGTGTGGTAGCAGGCACCTGAAGTCCCAGCTACTTGGGAGGCTGAGGCAAGAGGACTGCTTGAGCCCAGAAGTGTGAGGTTACAGTAAGCTATGATTATGCCACTATACTCCAGCCTGAGCAACACAGCAAGAACCTGTTTCAAAAGAGAGAGAGAGAGAGAAAGAGAGAAATAGAGAGGCAGAAGGGGGAGGTGATATGTCACTGCCATGAAATTGTATTAAGATTTATAAATCTGAAAAGTAACTCAGTTTGTATTTTTTATGCAGAGGACAACACTGAATTTAGCATTAAAAACTCATCCTGAGCCAGATTATGAAGGGATCACAGTTGGCCAGAGTCAAACTTGGTAGAACATTTCTTGTTTCTCTTACTCTGGGCAGAAACAGGCAAGAACCATATGGGCAGAATGCCCTCTTGATTGTAAGTACACATCTACTTTTAACCACCAGCTGTATTTCTTTAGGATGCAACCGAGAAAACAAATGAGATGCCAGATTTACTCACTCTTATTTCTTAATCATGTACATAAATATGCACATTCACACCCCCTCACTCACCTTTGCCAACACATTACAGAAAGATGAGTCAGACACACACATGCATAGTTCTAAATCATTTGAAAGGATGCTCAGGAAATAATTCTCTGTGTTTTTGGCGCTAAGTTATTTTCTCCACGAAAATATCTACCTAGTTTTATGCAGTTGCCGTAGGCCAAAATTTTGGTCACAGAGTAGCTTTTAAAAATACTTATGAAAAATAGCCCTTAATTTAGAACAACATAAACCTGTGTTCCTTGCACCACCTGCAGCTAAAAAATCTTGAGGGCTTGTCAAAAATGCAGATTCCAGGCTGGTTGCAGTGGCATTTGCCTGTAGTCCCCGCTACTCAGGAGGCTGCAGTGCACTGTGATCTATGATTGCACCTGTGAATAGCCACTGCACTCCAGCCTGGGCAACACAGCAAGACTCTATCTCTAAAAAAATGTTTTTAAAAAAATGCAGATTCCAAGATCTCACTCAAGACTCACTAAGTGTGGATGTTTTGGGGTGGAGTCTCTGCATTTTAAACAACCCCCCCTCCCCTAGGTGAATCTAGTGCACTTCAGAATTTGCTAGCCATTGCTTTGTTCATTGGTAAGATTATTATTATTATTATTTTGAGACAGTGTCTAGCTCTATTGCCCAGGCTAGAGTGCTGTGGCATCAGCCTAGCTCATAGCAACTTCAAAATCTTGGGCTCAAGGGATCCTCCTGTCTCAGCCTCCTGGGTAGCTGGGACAACAGGCATGAGCCACCATGTCAGCCCACTGGTAAGATTATGGCCAAAATTCCTAACATGATTTTATGAAGATCAGAACAACAAAACAAAGATCTCTGAAAGTGAATGACTTAAATCATTGGCATTTCTGAATCCCATCTTAATACTTGCTAATTTTGGATTCCAAACAAACAAAAAGTCAATGTATTTATGCTTAACAATTTCCGCTATCAGATGCATATTATTCATCGCTCTCCTCCATGAAAGTTCCAAGTTCATGGTTTTGAAAATACTGATAAATTTAGATTTAGCTTGCAGGTATAATTATGTTTTTTTCCTTCTAGCTACAGAAGTTTACTGTTGTGTCTCTATCTGCTTAGATTCTATCATGCATGCATCACTGAGTCTTCTAGAATCATATAAAACTAGACTTTACTTATGAGAAGATGTTCAGTAATAACGCAGGTCGAAAAAATTAAGTTGCCATTTTCCAACTTTGTAAATAGAGATATATAATGGGAGCCTGGAGCAAAAGACCCACAAATCATCATCGGGCTTGTGTGTTAGGGTTGGCTCCCACCCCCTACATATATCTCTAAGTTTATGTTCATTTTTAAAATTTAAAAATGATAATAAATACACACTTTAAAATGTTAACTCAGTTTGAAATATAATCATTAGCATGATTTTAACTTACTAGTAAATCAACTTTAAAAGCATATATTAAGAAAAATTTATTTATAGGCCTGAAATTCTAATACAATTATTTTAATTTTTCCATTTCTCTTCTAAACTTTACTCATGGGCATACATGCATGATTTTAGCACAGCTGTAATTATAGTCTATCTACAAATTTGAGTTTTACTTTTTCTACTTTGCATTATTTTATAAATATGTTTGCACATTTCTGCATATCATCAGAATTACTTTAATGGCTATTGTTTTAAAAATTAAGTTGATATACTGTCCTTTATCCATTCCTATATGTATGAACATTTCTGTTGTATAAAATTTTAAGTTATTACAGGTAACATAGTTAGACTTATCTGTTTTCGAAGATTTTTTTCTTTTAAAAGTTATTCATTTAGAATAAATTCCTAGCAATGGTTTTACTAGTTCAAAGAACATGAACATTTTTACACTCTTAATATGATACATAACATATTTCCCCGTTGCTCTTCAAAAAAATTATTACCACAGCTATGTGAAAAAGGACTGGATTCCTAAGAAGGCTGAGAAATGGATTCCTAAAAATTTTTTGATCATTTCACTTTATTTTTGTTACTTTACCAGGTATATTAGTATTTTAATTTTGATTTCTTTATTATGATTAATAATTTTTAAATTATCAATATGCCAGGAACCATTTCAAGGAGTTTATGTATAAAATTATGTTTTACTATAAGAATAATTTAAATAAATCCTCAATGTATTAAAGTATAAAACCCCACCTTCTATATATTAGATATCATAAAATAAACTTTTAAATTTCCAGAAAAATAGTGACCTCATTTCATAGAAGTGGAAAGGCACAGAAAATTTAGCTATGAATGAAAAGACTATTCTATAGTCTAGATTTTTCAGTATATTTGATTTTTGTACATAAAAAAATTTATTCAAAGAAATAATAGCTTCTTTTATCATTGAGAAAAAATTTTTTTCAGGATTAGAAAGTTCATTTAGCCTATATCTTCTTTCTTTAAAAATGACTGTACAGAACTTAAAAAGTTCCCTGAAGGAACTAGGATGATAAAATGCAAAATGATACTACTAATAATACTTTAAAAGTAATTTTAAAAAATCATTCAGTAAATGACCTACCTGAGCGCACCAAGCACATCAAACTGATGAACAAATACAATTTCAGCATGTGGAAACTAGACAGAATGTGTGTCACATTCACAAGAAGAATGATTTACTTCGCCGAGCCTTAAGAGTTTCCACCGTGCACAGCGAGCTCAAACAACTAATCCAGAGGTGTGGTGACAACAGGAAGTTCCCTAGGGACTGACTGCAGGCAGTCTCAACCCTTTCAGGATCTTTGACTCCGCCTCTTCTCAATAAAAGGTCAGTCACTGTCTACCTTACACAATTTTGTGCATATCTTAGTATTACAGTTTGTATTTGCAGAATGACGAGTTCAAAATAGTTTCATTCTTTGTGGGCGTTTTATTAGTTGTTTGGCTTGGTGTGTTGAAATCAAGTGTGATTTGAGATCTTTTCCTTCCTTGTTCTTGTGAATGAAATAACAAATCCAGTTAGTATTCTGTTGGCCTGTATATACAAAACCACTTTTTATGTTAATTAATTCTTAATAGGGCAGTCTTCAGATTTTATTAAAGAACATTTTATCTATATTTGCCAAAATATATCTACGCTTCAGATCAAATGAAACTTTTTTGGTATTATATATTTGTATTTTTATTTCTTCCTGTCCAGAATTCCTACCTAACAGTTCTTTTTTTAAAGGAAAAGTAAATGCAAAAACTTAAATAGAGAACTATGCCAGAATCTATCCACCTCAGAAGTTTAGGTTAGTTACAAATAACTAAACTTGTGATGCATAGCTACAAGGTAATTTAATTCTGTTTTGGTAAAAGTGCTTGTAACACTTAGGCTTCTGGTGGCCTGATGAGCTTAAAAATAAACTAATAAATACACAAACAATTTAAGAATCCATTTTTGGGGCAGGCTCCATGACTCACTCCTGTAATCCTAGCACATTGGAAGGCTGAGGCAGGACGATCGTTCACTCCATCCCAAGAGCTGAAGACCAGCTTGAGCAACATGTCTCTACAAAAAACAGAAAAATTTGGCCAGGCGAGGTGACTTATGCCTATAATCCTAGCACTCTGGGAGGACAAAGCAGGAGGATCGCTTGAGCTCAGGAGTTTGAGACCAGCCTGAGCAAGAGCAAGACCTGTCTCTACTAAAAATAGAAAAACTAGCAGGGCATCGTGGTGAGCGCCTGTAGTCCCAGCTATTCAGGAGGCTAAGGCAGGAGTATTACTTGAGCCCAGGAGTTTGAGGTTGCTGTGAGCTAGAGTGATGCCATGGCACTCTAGCCTGGGCAACAGAGTGAGACCCTCTCTCTCAAAAAAAAAAAAGTTTTTTCATTTAAAGCATCAGGCAAAAGCCATCAGTCACTTAGCACTGTTTAGCTAAAATATGTTTTTGAAGTAATAGGCACATAGCTATAATATCACACTTAATCCATATAACAGCCCTGTGAGAGGTATGATTTTATTATCTTCATTTTCCAATTAAGAAAAGAGATTTAGAGAACTTAAATGCTCTGCTTCATGCTGCATGACTAGTGTGGAAGACGTGGAATTTGAATTCAGGTTAGTGGACCAGCACTAGGTTAGTTACCCGTAGTAATTATTGTTCTTACCTAACTGGTTACAGGATCTGTACCTTCCCCTCCCATTGGAAGGCAAGCTGTGGAGGACAGGGACCCAGGTGGGATTTTAGGAATGGAGAGCACCTTAGAGCCTTAATGTTTCAGTGAGAGACTTTATTCAGCACGTTAATCTGTTTCTGTTTTTGTCTTCTGCTGGGAGAAATAATATATATATTTTTTGAGACAGAGTCTCACTTTGTTGCCCAGGCTAGAGTGAGTGCCGTGGCGTCAGCCCAGCTCACAGCAACCTCAAACTCCTGGGCTCAAGCAATCCTGCTGCCTCAGCCTCCCAAGTAGCTGGGACTACAGGCATGCGCCACCATACCCGGCTAATTTTTTCTATATATATTAGTTGGCCAATTAATTTCTTTCTATTTATAGTAGAGACAAGGGTCTCGCTCCTGCTCAGGCTGTTTTAGAACTCCTGACCTCGAGGAATCCGCCTCGGCCTCCCAGAGTGCTAGGATTACAGGCGTGAGCCACCACCATGCTAGGGCAAGAATAATTTCTGTTGGGAAGCCTATTTGTGTTTCTGTTAATGATTTTCTTGCTGGTAGGCACAAAAGATCCTCTAATTTCCTGTGTGCTCCCTCAGGCATTCAGAACAGCACAAAAAGTCAATGGGAGAACCTGTCCCTTCTTTTGGATGTTAGTGAGAAATATCAAATATATACATAAAAAACATTCCTAGGAGCCGGGTGCAGTGGCTCACACCTGTGGGAGGCCGAGGCAGGCAGATTGCTCGAGGTCAAGAGTTCGAAACCAGCCTGAGCAAAAGTGAGACCCCGTCTCTACAATAAATAGAAAGAAATTAATTGGCCAACTAATATATATAGAAAAAATTAGCCGGAATGGTGTCATATGCCTGTAGTCCCAGCCACTCAGGAGGCTGAGGCAGTAGGCTGATTGCTTGAGCCCAGGAGTTTGAGGTTGCTATGAGCTAGGCTGACGCCAGGGCACTCACTCTAGCCTGGGCAATAAAGTGAGACTCTATCTAAAAAAAAAAAATTAAAAAAACAAAAAAACCAAAAACATTCCTAGGAATGAGGGAGAGCAGAGGAAGATGGAGAGGAGAGGAGGAGAATGGGTGTGACTATAAAGGAATCTTATATGATGAAACAGTTGTGTATCTAATTGTGGTGGTGGCTACAGGAACTACACAGATGTTAAGTTTGCATAGAACTATATAACAGTACATGTAAAACTGGTAAAATCTAAATGAGTCTGTGGATTATACAGAAAATGTCAATTTTCTGGTTTTGATAGTGCACTATAGTTATATAAGATGTTAACAATTAGAGAATACTGAGTGAGGGTACACAGGGTCCATATATTTTTTTTTTAAGAGATGAGGCCTTGCTGTGTTGCCCAGGCTGGACTCAAACTCCTGGGCTCAACTGATCCTACTGCCTCAGCCTCCTGAGTAGCTGAGACTACAGGTGCATGCCACTGTACCTAGCTTATTTTTGTAACTTCCTGTGAACTAATAATTATTCAAAATAAAAGTTTTTTTTTAAATTCCAAAGATGAGTCAACTCTTATAATCATTAGAAAGAACATTTATTCAAGAGTGTTCTGAGGAAAACCATTTCTTCATGTCCAATTAGCTAATCAAGATTTTCTCAATCCTATGATCCTGATAAATGATCACAACTCAAGAATGTCAATTCAATTTTCTTCATTTCCAACCTAGTATTGTATAGTGGCTTTCTTCTTTTTTTAGAGATAGGATCTCACTCTGTAACCCAGGCTGGAGTGCACTGGCATTATCACAGCTCACTGCAGCCTTGAACTTCCTAGCCTCTGGAGTAGCTGGGACTATAGGCACATGTCATTGTGCCTAATTTCTTCATTTTTTGTAGAAATGGGGATCTTGCTATGCTGCTGAGCTGGTCTCAAACTCCTGGGCTCAAGTGATCCTTCTGCCTCAGCCTCCCAAAGTGCTGAGATTACAGGTGAGAGCCACCATGCCTGGCCTTCCTAAAATGTTTTTTTAAACCTAGAAATCACTTGCTACAGAGAGCAGAGTAAAAAGTCCAGGCAAGCTTCCAAATGTGTGGACAGGAAAAACAGGTATGAAGTATCATGGAACTGAGGGGAGGAGGTTTTATAACTCTCATTGGTTTCAACAGCCAGGAAAGGTGACCTATGTCCCCACCCACCCTAGTCTAGGGCTCCAGGTTGGCATATGACTCATTGTAACACCTTTTTCTCTTCCCATCCACATCAGTGACCCTGCCACTTCTCACAGTCCAAATATGGAAAAATAAGTCTATTTCCTTGATTCATAACCTACAAAGAGATTAGGGTAACTTTCTCCAAATCCATATACTCATTTCATTTCTTCATTACTTCATTTATCGAACATTTCTTGAGCTCCCAGTAAAAGAAGGAAAACATAGGGCATGACTCCTTCCATCAGAGAGACAGACACATTAAGGATGATGCTGCTGACAATAATAATACTAATATCGTGACATGGATACAAATTCTATGTGAGAAGAGTAGGGGAAGCAAGGACAAGTTGGGAATCCCAGAAAGAGGAGGCATTTGTGAACTAAAATAAAATCTTAAGGCTTACCCCCCACCGGCGGACTAAATGGACCCCCTTGTGGCCAAAGGTATATTCTAAAACTACCGTGCTTCCCCGAAAATAAGACCTACCCATAAAATAAGCCCTAGCAGGATTTCTAAGCATTTGCCCAACATAAGCCCTACCCTGAAAATAAGACCCAGTGATGGGCGTGTCTACGCAGTGTATCTGCACAACCCAAGCATTTAGTCGCCGAGCGGTAAAGAAGAGGAGCGGCCATTCTCATCTGCTCCATTGTGACAGCTACTATTCCAGAGGTGACCGGAAAGGTGCAGGCAGCCCCACCAACAAGGTCGGCTCCCCCTGTCAGGTCCTGGCCAATGGTTCTAAAGGAAATAGAGTCACAAGAAATGCAGGATGGAATTCGGGGTTTGGAGAATTATGATGATGTTCCAGAAGAAGACGACTTAACTGTATCTGAATAAATGTAGATTGTTGTACCTTACTTTAAAAAAATAATACATCCCCTGAAAATAAGCCCTATGGTGTCTTCTTGAGGAAAAATAAATATAAGACCCTTGTCTTATTTTGGGGGAAACACCTTAAATTGCCTGCCAGGAGGAGGGAGGTCAGACATGCCTCATCAGACCCCCATTCCTTCTTGGGGACATCCTTTGTAACCTATTAACAGGTTTAAGGGTATGCAAGACAAACCTGCAGGTCCTCAATTTACACAACAAATATACAGCTGGTAGCTTGTCTCTGATAAACAGCCCTTTATCTCAAAACATTCCCCCCTTTGGAGATGTCCTACCTTTTGGGGCCAAACCAATGTATGTCTCCCACATACTGATTTATGACTTTACCTGTAACCCCTGACTCCCTGAAATGTATAAAACCAAACTGTAACCCAACCTTAGCAAGTCTACTTGCTCAAGGCTTCTTGGGCATGGTTCTGGGTCATGGTCCTCAAATTTGGCTCAGAGTAAATCTCTTTAAAATTATTTTACAGAGTATGGCCTTTTTGTTTTTTTTTTTTCTCGAGACAGAGTCTCACT